CTAGCATTTGGGATCTGGACTAGTGTTAATTTTGTTGGCGTTTTTTTTTTTTAGTCTTAGTTTTAGTCTTAGTCCTATGTTAAATGTCCTTTTTGGTTTTTTATCACACTTTGTCAACCTGTCCTATTTTTTTGTCTTAGACAAATTTTAGTTGACTAAAAGTCTGGGAATTTTTGGCTAGTTTTAATCTATGAAAACTTTGTCTTATTTTAGTCATGCTGTATAATTAAACTGATAATCACAATTATTTTGCTCAAAATTGTAATCACGACTGATGTTTTTCTATTAAAACAACAATTAAAAGACTTTTCTATTGTTAATTTCTTACAAAAGTTGTGTGAGTATGGAAGCTTGTGTCTGGATAAAATATAATTTAAAAATAACTTTTTATCTCACAATTCTGACTGCTTTCTCGCAATTCTGACTTTTTTCTTAGATTCTGAGTTTATGCCTTGCGAGTCTGATAATATCTCGCAATGAACTCAGAATTGGGAGATGTTAACTCAGAATTTTAAGAAAAAAGAAAAAAACATGATGTTGCAATTATCGTTTTTAAATTTTTAATTTTGTGGCAGAAACAGACTTTGATTCGTACGTGCATTTATGCAGCAACCAAGATCGCAAACAATATAGCCAAAATCCATGTGTGGATTTATTCATCACTGAGAAGGTTTGATTGCAGATTTAGTCACAGCAGCCATGTGAAGGAACACAATGTTCTCATGGTTGCCAGGTTGTGAAGATTAAGTCATTCACGGGGCAGGAATTATGTAAGCTTGTTTTGTCACGGGATAAAAAATAATTCCATAGAAAATGTATCCTTTTTAAGAGAAAAGCTCTGATTGGGGGATTTAATCTCTTGACATCTGGCAATCTTTAGCATGAAAACTTATGGAGGCTTGTTAAAAACAGTCTATATCATTTTCTTTCCTCTATTTGATGAAGAATCACTTTTTTGATTTATTGAATTGTTTTAAAGTTTTATTTTTTAAACTACATTGTCTTTTTCGTCCATAACATGGTCACAGTTAATGTTTTAATGATGTTGGTGTCGTCTCATCGTTGTCTCATTTTAGTCGCGAAAAAGGTGGTCAGCAAACATTTTTCGACAGTTTTCGTTAATGAAACTCGCACTAATCTGGACGCATACACTGTACATTCAAAAGAGTGTTTTTGTATTGACGCGTAATTATGTTTAGTCAAGGAACAAGCAAACATAATCAAGGAATCAGTGAGTTGTTTGTAATGGAGTGGAGATGGCTCTTTGAAGCAGCCTTCGCTTCAGAGAGTTCGAACATTAAGCATTATTGATGCGGCTTTACATCTTCGGGGTGTTTTATTTGGAGGGATGTTGAATTGTTTGTATTAAAAGGCTTTAAATTAGGCTGCAAATAACAGAGCCCCTAATTACACAGCGCACACTTTTCATTAATGGGAATGAACTAGACGGTTCAGTGTGATGAGAAGGTCTCATAGGCTCACTGCCGTTGAGGATTTCACTTCAAGACTGCTTAGCAAGAAGGAACATGACATGCAGTGTTCTTCACACAAAATCCAGACTATTTAAATCCCATTTTACACACTTACTCCTGCTAAAACCAGCCTAAAACTTGAAAGATGAGGGGAATCCTTCCTGAGGCCCCACGCTCTGGCAGCTACGTGAGATGGCAATAATTATAATTCTTGGAGTGCCCTTATAAGTTTTCAGTGGGCTGGATATTTCTCAGCTTTGTACGAGCGTTTGTGTTTTGTGCGTCAATGAATTGTGTGAAGCGCTTCTCTGAAGTGTATTATGAGAAATTGACGTTGAGCGTCCTACAGCAGAGGTTCTTAACTGGTGGGCCGCAGCCCAAAAAATGGGTCACAGGTCTATTCTGATCAAACTCTGCGGTATGTGGGTGCAAATTAATCTGCCGTTTGGTAGAAACTAGTCAGATTAGGCAGATGCCAACATGGACAGATTGTCTGACATGCTCTTATCCTTGAAAAGCACGGACAAAACTGCACAAGGTTCAGTAAATATGACCAGCTTAACATTAAATATGCAGTGCAGCTAGGATAAACATGACTTGGTGCCATCCAGAAATGTTTTGTGTTGTAAATTATTTCCTTCTGAGAAAATAAAAAAAAACAAGTCATCAGAATTGAGGAGATAGTAACCAAATACTAACCATATTTTCCATAGCGTAACAATTAATACAGTACATGCTAAATGTAAATGTATTAATATGAACATTTCATATTTAATTCATATGAATTGTATATACAGTCAGTGTGTATTTATTTATTTATTTTGAATGAAAAACAGCAATGACCAATTAAAATGCTCAAAAGTTACAGTAAAGGCTTTTTATGTTACAAAAATTATTTCAAATAAATGCTTTATATGCTTTATTTCTCTTCATCAAATAATCCTGAAAAATATTAAGCAGCAAAATGTTTTTTATAACATTGATAATTATAAAAATGTTTCTTAAGCAGCAAATCAGCATATTAGAATGATTTCTGAAGCATCATGAGACACTGAAAACTGCAGTAATGATGCTGAAAGTTCAGATTTTATCGCAGGAATAAATTACATTTTAAAATATATTCAAATAGAAAACTGTTGTTTTAAATTGTAATAATTTTTCACAATATTACATTTTTATTGTATTTTTGATCTTTCACAAAAACATTTAAAAAATCATACCAACTCTTACCCAAAATTTTGAATGGTAATATTGTTCTTATTAACAATATAATACATGTATGTTGTTTTATTAATAAATGTATGTTGTTTGGTTCTATGTTGGATTGCAGTTTGATGCTCAGTGTAAAATCAAAAAGCAAAACCAGTTGAGATCCAGTGTTTTGAAATCTCTCTGTTCTCACATCAGCAGTACTACATCCTTCCCTCTGTCCTTTTTCACTGTCTTTGGCTCCATAAATTGATTTCAAATGTTGCTTGGCAGATTGGCATTGCAGAAAATAATCAACTGAACACCATCCAAACCCCATAACTCACTGGCTGTTGTGAATAGTGTGTCATTTTTAAAAAAACAAGCACACCCTGCAGACCATCATATTTGTAATGTGTACATCCTGACTCATCCAAAAGGTGATGGCCAACTGGCATAGGTTAGGACATAATTTTCCCGAATGAATCTTCAGACTTTTTAACATTTTCTGCAGTAATTTTATGGTAAATGAATTGCTTCCCTATAGCATTGGTGAGTAAATGCTTGCATAAGATGCATAATACATATGTTGTTTTAAATTAAAAGTTTACCAATGCAACATCTTGCTCAGAGAGACATTATAAATGCTTGGAAATAAAGCTTCGTGTCCAAATGCAGTCAGCTTTATTACTCTGAATAAGTTGTGATGCTTGTATTTTATGATGCCTTTTTATTAACCAACATCCACTTCAGTCTCTTGGAAACAAGGACTGTTAAAAGCTACAGGACAGTGCAAATTCTATGGCTGTTTGCTAGAATTAGAGTTTGCATAGGAATGAAGTGTGTATGTGTATATTGTTGAATCAAGTGTCAGTTTAATCAACGTTGAAGTTGTTATCATAATGGCTTTAAAATGCATGCTGTTAACAAAAATGGTGTCATTGTTGAATCATTTACCAATGCATGGAGATTTCAGATATAAAACGGTGACTCAGTAAGTAATGTTTTTTCATAAAAATCAGATGATTTCCCATTGATTCAATATGTGCAATATGTGGGAATAGCAGTATGACAGTGAGGTGGCTTCATATGCTAGGACATCATGAGCAATACACTTTTCTGATTAAAATACTGGTTTAGTTTTTTTTTTTTTAAACGTGTTTTCTCTGTTTCTTTCACATATTTGGAATTTGTCTGAGTGTTTCTGCAGGTTACATTGTTCCTCCAGCAGGAAGCGAGAATAGGTTGTCTTTAAGAGTCATTGAATCATTAACTGAACCAATTCAATCAGAAACAAACTGCTGCTACACGCATTATTTGAATCTCATGCTGACCACAAAACCGTGGGACATTCAAAACACTTGACATGTTTTAATGTAATAAAACAGTCATATTAAAAGATCAAATTAAATATACAGCGTATGTTTATGCGTACTAAATAAAGGCAAGCAGATGAGCCCTGAGCTAAATTACACCTTAAGCGTTCTCTTTATAATAGTGAGAATATCAGAATTCAGAAGTCACACATTCTGTTCATATTGTGGGTTCATCTGCTTGTCTATGTATAGTATGAATAATGTGTATACTGAGTTTGATCCTTTGATTTTATTGTTTTAGGCCTGGTTTCACAGACAGGGCTTATATTAAGCCAGGATTATAGGCCTTAAATAACATTAAATTAGGACATTCAAGTAGTTTTTTTTTTTGGAATGTGCCTTAGAAAACATTATTGATGTGCATCTTGATACAAATCAGTAGCACTGACATATTTTAAGACATGTCAGTGCAAATTGCTTTCAGTTAAGACAGCTCAAACATGCATTTTAGTCTGGGACTGGGTTTAAGCCTTGTCTGTGCAACCGGGCATTAATGTATTAAACCACATTAAGCTAAAAATGCTTTTTTGTGTTCGTATTGTTTATATGGGTGCTTACTAATTGTGTATGATTAAATTACATTTTAAGTGAAAAGCATTCACATTTTGCATAAATCTGCAGACCTATTTGTTTATATTGTTGATTATAGGCTTTTTTAAATTGTGAAAATCTACTTTAGTTCCTCCAGCCAATCAATATCAATTTGCATCACGGAAAAGAGTATTGTTCTGAATTCAAGTGATCTCACTTGTGATCTTTTAAGCCACATTAGCTGCATTAGCGCTGTGATAATTTCGCCCCATAATGCGTATTGTAAGCACACAGCAGCCACCGCTCATGGCTTTCTTTTGCATAAAAACGAATGGAAAAAAAAACTGTTAAACTGAGAAAGTTAACTGAGAAAAACAGACTGAACTACCTATAACAAAGTATTTATAATTTCTCATAATTTGGTCCTCAACAGGTCAGGTGGTTTTCTCTTGAGAGAGCAGCCGTTCATTCACGGCGCACTGAATTCAAGTAACACTCGCCCCTGGCAGCTGAAGATGACGTTACTATGGAAACAGTTTTTGCTGCTATCAATCATGGAGTATCTTGCAGGTAAAATGAATTGGTCATTCCTTCCCTCTGTGGCTCTTGTGGTGTATTCACAACTATGTCTCTATCAACTTTAACTTAATCTTTTCCAAGGTAGACTGTAACGATGTTCTAAAGCTTGGAGTTAAAAAAGAGAAATCTGTATATATATGACAAGTGCTCCACAAAAAGCATCCTCTTGTTCAGTGAAGCATTATGTATGTGGTCAACCTGCTGGTGTTGTTGCAGCATTTGCTGCTATCAGCCCATATCTTGATTATGAGCGGAAGACAGTAATAGACCCTGAGGCACAGAATCAGGCTTACAGGAACAGGATGTGTTTTGGATGTGGTGAAGGGCTTTCAATTAAGCTGTGCAGTCATTTTGAAAATAAATTGTGTTGTGTCATAGAAGGTTTTGGAGGCTTCGATACAATGTGTCCTCCAAGGAAATTGAACTTATATGTCACAGTTTATGACTCCGCTTCCTACAGATGTTATTTCTGTGAATAAGAATTCACTGAGAACATACAGCTCTTAAAGGGATAGTTCACCTAAAAATGATGCTCCTGTCAACATTTACTCACCCTCATGTCGATCCAAATCTGTGACTTTCTTTCCCAAAATCACAAAAGAAGATATTTTCAGTATTTTTACTGATTGCTCTTTTCCATGAATCCCCGCTGAGGCTTTCAAGCTTCAAACAGGATGCACCATAAACGTGGTCTGTACAACATGTGTGCTGTATTTCAGGTCTTCTGAAGCCATATGATAGCTTTGAGTGAGGAACAGATTGTAATTTGAGTCATTCTTCACCTCCTGTGAGCTGTTAACGGTTGTGACGGGATCATTGAGTCTGTGAGCTGAACTCGAGGACCAGTTTGATTTGTGAATGAATCATTCAAACTGGTTTTGTGAACTGAATGAACCGATTCATTAAAAAAAATCCAACTCAAAAAAATGTATTTGTTTATTAGGGGTGAAAATTGGATGTTTTATCATGATACCATCTAAAACAGATTCTCTTGGTGGAAAAAACAGCCAGCAATACGATATTTGATCAAAACATGCTGCGATCTGATTGTGATTTGATTCGATTTAGGGACCTGCGATTGATATATCGATATTACAATATAATATTTAACTCACCAAAATATTACATGAACATTTAATTGAACTCTCTGAAAATTACAAATCAAATTGGGACATCCATAACAAAAAAATACTATTTAGTTTTAATTAATAGAAAAATTATTTAAAAAAGATCATCAGTCATCTGATGACAGCTCATAATTGACTTGTGCAATGAGATAAGCAACGACAAAAGTCAAAGTTTTACAGTCTTTTGTGCTCTCTAAGAATTCTAGAGTCTCTTCTGTACACACACATGCATAAATATATATATATATATACACGCATATATATAACCGTATTCAGCCTGTTCCTCAAACACAAGTTACTATTCTTAAAAATGTATTCTTTCGTCTTCTGTAGAAAACAAGAAAGTCATTGGACAGAATTGTCATTTTGAGTTGAACTAGTCCTTTAAAAGTAACATATAACTGAATAGAGACATATTTCAGTTAGGTTCATTTTAATTTAACAACTTATGCATTTAGCAGACGCTTTTATCCAAAGCAACTTACAGTGCATTCAGGCTATACATTTTTACCAGTATGTGTGTTCTCTGTGAATTGAACCCACAACCTTTTGCGCTGCTAACACAATGCTCTACCACTGAGGATAAAACTAGAAAGACACTTTACTGTAAAGTATAACTTCAATGTGCACAATGTAAATGTCATATGAGAGCACCTTAGTTCCCATTTTCTGAACAAATGTCACACTTAAATGTGAAGATTCCTGTGAATTTGCCGCTTTGATAACATCTTAAGCAGAAATTGAGTGATGCGAACATAGCACTTGATTAGAACCCACACACCTGGTGTAATCTCACCACATATGGTCCCCGTTTCTGCACTCTTTATGCATGCATGTTACTGCGCAGCTTCTGTCATCTGCAGAATATTTACCCACAAACTGCTTTTTAAAAATTCTTAAAGGGATAGTTCACACAAAATGGAAAATCTGCCACCGGTTACTCACCCTCATGTTGTTCCAAATTTGTATGACTTTCCACTTCAGAAAACAAAAAAAGATAATTTGAAGAATGTTGGTAATCAAACAGTTTTGGTTGACTTCTATTGTATGCACAAAAAGCCACTGTGATGTTTTGTGAAATATCTTCTTTTATGTTCCAGCAAATGATGACAGAATTTTCATGTTCAGATGAACTATGCCTTTAAAGGAAAACTCCACTGTTTTTGAAAATAGGCTCATTTTCCAACTCTCCTAGAGTTAAACAGTTGAGTTTTACCGTTTTCGAATCCATTCAGCCGATCTCTGGGTCTGGTGGTAGCACTTTTAGCTGTAGTTTAGCATAGATCATTGAATCTGATTAGACCGTTAGCATCTCGCTCAAAAATGGCCAAAGAGTTTCTATTGTTTTCCTATTTAAAACTTGACTCTTTTGTAGTTACATCGTGTACTAAGACCGACGGAAAATGAAAAGTTGCGATTTTCTAGACCGATATGGCTAGGAACTATACTCTCATTCTGGCGTAATAATCAAGGAACTTTGCTGCCGTACCATGGGTGCAGCAGGCGCAATGATATTAAGCGCCTGAAAATAGGTTAACTTCCGTCAACATAACCAATGTGACCACCTGCTTGCACAGGGAGCGTGCTGGGGACTATTTTCAGGCGCTGTGTAATATCATTGCGCCTGCTGCACCCATGGTTCCTTGATTATTACCCTTGATTATTACGCC